CGGAAAACCAAGAGATTGGGTGAGTGATTTTGATGGTGATTCAAGATTTAATTCGTGCTGATTGATACCGAATAACACTACGGGATGCTTGGGCTATGGTCATCGATCGACGACAAGTCAGGTGAGGGTGACAAATTACTCTAACGGTTGTTGGACAATGCTGATTTGATGGGGGTTATGATGGTTAGGGTAAATAATTTGGGGGTTAGATCATGAAAACACAGAGGGTTTGGTTTTGGGTACATAATTCTGGCCAAAATATAATAAAACATATATTTATTAATTAAAACTCAAACAATAGCATAGCCTAGTGGCTAAGGCATAGGCACCCATTACCCTAGGGTCACGGGTTTAAGCCCCCTTTGCCATAAAAACCCTATTTTTTTCAACTGACCAAAAAAATAGGTTGATTCAATGTTAAGTCCCTAAACTTTCCAGATTTTTAAAATTAACCCAATATTTTTCTAATATGTCTATTTTGGTTCCTTAACTAAATTAATTATATTTTAAAATTAACATTGAGGGTTAACAATTCTCCTCCCCATAAAAGAATTTCATTCTCGAAATTCATTCAAGTCACAAAAATGCATAAGTGAAGCTTTCAACAATTCTTCAATATCTTAAGGTAGCTTTTACAAAAGTACTGATCCTCTAATAATCCATAACCAACTGAATATACATTATCGTCAGAACTCTCATTCATCATAATAAAATAATCTGAACATAACTATCCTTATGGAAACAATTCGACATTGGCTACGAGGTTAGGTTTATATAGCAGTAACATATTTCAATTTCATTTCTGGAGTCAAGTCAGAATTTCTCAGATAATTAACTCTCACATTACTCGTGAGACATTTTACAGAATTTGGATAAACATTACTGACATTCCTTGATGCACTGGTCGAGCCCTAAGAGATAGAAAACTTAGGTTAGCTCATTACAAAGAGAAACTCGACCTTAGAGTTCTGGCTTAGAGAAGTACGATTTTAGTCTAGAGGCATGTACTAACCAGGCATCCTATGACAGTCGACCGACCGATCTATCCAAAAAAACTCGACTCAACCTAAGCTCTGATACCACTAAATATAACACCCTAAGACCGATGAGGTGACCCGTTCTAATCTGAGGTGTCACATTAGGGCTACAGGAGCTACCCATAATAAAAATCCGGGAAAAAATATTTTTTTTTGTTAAAACGTGTAAAATCGTAAAATAATTTATAAATAAATATTACAAACAAAATTAAAATCATACAAGTTCTAGACTCGGTATAAAAAAGTCAAATGTGACTTACATGCCCCTAATTACACATTGTGACGTGCTCTGCAAGCAAAGTCGAATGGAAATCCCAAAACTGAAGTTGATTGCTGCATTGGATCTATTCTTTTAACCTGAAATGGAGAATAAGAAACGAGTTTTGGGAAGCTCAGTAATACAGAACTATAAGATGAATGCAATAGGGCATCATGTATAAGTAAAGCATGAATTTTCTTAACGATACAAACATCGTCATATTCTGGCGACGAGCTCCAATTTCCTTAATTATTTCAGGTAACAGTCAGGAAATTGAAATTCGATGAAAATATTCAGAATGACAAATTCAACATATCGAGATAAGGAGTCTAGTGTGTTCCAACCAAAACCAATGAAAATGTACAAATCTTTTTAAAAGATTAACAGTTTAAAACATATTTTTAATACCATAGTAAAACCCTCCAACCGAATACCAATATGGAGTTCCTCAGAACTACATCCATAAGGACTTACCCTAGGCTAATTGGGCATAAGTGTCAATCTAAGGGAGCACATTGGGTCCATAAGGTCTTACCTAGCCAAAGCGTAGGTGCCCACCTGAGGGGTGTGCCCTCCAGTCCATAAGGACTTACCCAAAGCACATAACAGAGGTGCCACCATAAGGGAGTACCTTAGTGTCCATAAGGTCTTACCACTAGGCCTATTGGGCCTAGGAGCCCACCCAAGGGTCACCTTAGATCCATAAGGAATTACCAGTTGATCGATGTTGAACCTATATAAGGAATTACCAACTGATCGGTGTTGAACCTATATGAGGAATTACCAGCTTGAGAAAAGCTGAACATATATAAGGAATTACTAGCTTGATTAGATCTGAAACTATAGAGACTTTATATCAGATCCCAGAGTACCCCAAAGAAATTATTTCTCATACAATATATTATGGTAGCAGAGAAATCAAAGTTCAGACATGTCAATTCAATAGAACAATATCTAGAGATCATGAATCAGACAAACATGCTTAAAACTTTAGTAAATTAGAAATCTCGGTAAAACACATTTCAAAACAGATACAACAATCATATAACACATAGGGAACACACTAGAGGATTCAATTATTTTCCGAATATACTTGATAATTATCAAGCGAGGTAAGCATGAAACTTCTTCAACTGATCGAACTTGAGGAATGAGATCCATTTTTTAAAAAAAGTTGGATTACTAGCAGACTAATCAATCATTAGGAAAATGATACATTAGTATCGTATAATATTCGGATATACCCCTAAGATGTGTCAGAAACTGCTACATCCGAATTATTTTAAGATTCGAATATTCCTGTGGTGATTCAGTAAATCATATACACGTAAGGGCATTCTAATCACTTAAATTCCTGAGAAATTTGGTAATTCAGTTTAATAAAAGCAAGCAGTGATTTACAGTATTTCAGATTTCAAGTGTCTTATCTAGCTTCCAAATCCAGTCGAACTGATCAGATCCCAATAATACAGTACTTACAGAGTTTGCGGGTAAAGTGGTCTCATGAATATTCACTTCTTAGTACTAATTGCGCCATAATGGTGAGTTGAGATGAGCTGAGCACTTTCAGAATTATCATCAAATGAACCTCGAGGAGACGAACATGTATTCAGTCATTCCATGACTTGAGGGTATCTTAGGTAATTTACACTCCAGGGGCATTTTGGTCATTTTATAATTCAAGGGTATTACAGTCCTTTCCTTCCGTCCAGTCTTTCCATTTAATTCAATTTTTTTCGAATAGTTCAAACATGAATAGTACTTTTAATGTTTTATTCTTTAGGTGTTTACTGATAAATCAATATTTATAGGTCTTGTTATAAAGGTGTTAAGATTCAGAACATGTATGGATATATTTTTAGATGTTTATTGTTCTAATTTTTGTTATAAAGGTGAGAATTTGATAATCTTTCTACACTTTGATTACTAACACATATTATAATCTGATTGATTAAAATTGTGAGAGAATAAAATATTAAATATATACATATGAAACCATCCATCTCTCAATCACTACAACAAAGTGTGCATTTGATACAGGGTTGACAATACATATATTATAACTGTGACTAGAGTTTGATTAAAATAAAAAATATATTTTTTATTTTAGAAAATTTTTTAAAGTGGGATTGATCAAATAAAACATCATCAACAACAATTTGTCATATACATACTGGACTAATATATTTATGACTATCATAAGCAAAATATAATAGTGAGCAAGCAGTGACAGTCTGATGAGTAAGAATATGAACAATTGAAACAACAATATACAGAGACGGATCACTTCGATGTTCCCAAGCACCAAACATAAAGGGAAAATTTTGGAAAATATCTAAAACGGATAAATGAAAAACAAATCATCCCATAATTACAGTCTCATCTGACACATATATCCAAAAATCAACAAAATGTAACATACATACGAACGAATAAATCAAACATCAAGAAAGTAAACAACTAATAAATCTCATAGAATCACAAACCAATGAATATGTATATGTATATGTATATGCGTATGCGTATGCGTATGCGTATGCGTATGCGTATGCGTATGCGTATGCGTATGCGTATGCGTATGCGTATGCGTGCGTATGCGTATGCGTATGCGTATGCGTATGCGTATGCGTATGCGTATGCGTATGCGTATGCGTATGCGTATGCGTATGCGTATGCGTATGCGTATGCGTATGCGTATGCGTATGCGTATGCGTATGCGTATGCGTATGCGTATGCGTATGCGTATGCGTATGCGTATGCGTATGCGTATGCGTATGCGTATGCGTATGCGTATATGTATATGTATATGTATATGTATATGTATATGTATATGTATATGTATAAAGGCGAGCTGATTTGAATGGATTGGTATCATTTTGTTTAGTCGGCTACTTTTAGATTTCAACAAAATTCAAATGAGATTATAATTAGATTAGTTTCAACTTTGACTCTTCTTTGATGATAATTTCAAACAAGAGAAAATTAGTTCCAGCCTCCAACAGGGGCAGAGCTTAATGAGGGCCCAAAGGATCCCCGACCCTGTTAAAATTTATATATTTGATATAATTTTAGTCTAATTATATTTTGATTCATATAAAAATAAATATTTAAATTAAAAAATATAAGAATTTATTAAGTATTTAATCAAGTGAAGAACGAACTAAAAAGGATAATCTCGTGTTCTCAAAATTTTTGGTCTAATAACAATTTAAGTCATTGTAAGTTTAAATATTAGACAAATTGAGTGTTATCTTGTGAATTTTGAATTTTTTTATTTACCTTTTTTATTTTATAAATCTATGGTGAATACAAAATAATATTTATACAAAAACTCTAAATTATTTGACAACGAACTCATACCTCTACATGCATAATGCTCAAACTCGATACCTCAATGATAATAACAATCTCTTAATCACTAAAGTCACTTGATTCGTGCTGAATTTTGAGTTTAAATACCTAATAAATCCTTATATTTTTTTAAAATATTCTAATATTTCCACCTCTATCAATATTTAATTCTGACTCCGTCCTTGGCTTCCAAGGTGCACATTAAAATTGATATATTTTTTCATTTACAGGGATAAACCTAATGATAAAAAGAAAAGACTCAACATACCCTCTAACTTAAGCAGCTTCATCAAATCCAGTGTATAATATTATTATATTGCATGGCAGCGTCATCGTGGAAAATACATGATTTTGTGAATTGTTCTTTATCAAAAGTTTGAGAAATGATTCTGTGAGGGTTGAACCATTTGCAAGTCTGTTGTTTGACACGAATGATCATCGCTCATCATGCTCCTACATCAATCCAAATTCTATCATCAATAATTACAAAAGGAAGAGCGAGTGAGTAGAAAATTATGTATATTCTTTTCCATTAGGGTTTCTTTGTTTTAATGTAATAAAAGTTGAAGACATCTTACTCTAGAGGACGGGACGCCCAAAGGGAACTAAGTGCTCGTAAACGCCCATAGTACTCTCCGATCATCAGAAAACACCGTGCCGCCTGTCGAACCGACAGTATCCTGGACAACTGGTGAAGGGTTTGCTGTCTTAAATTGTCACCCTACATCACAATTGCAACTTTGAGAAAAGAAGAAAATAAAGAAAAGTTTGATATATATATATATATATATATATCTGCACATGAATATACACGATATTTCATATGTTAGGGAATAACTTATATAATTTTTAAGAGGATAAAAATAAATTATCAATAAAAATACATAAATTATATCAAAGTTTAAAGTTTTTCAGAGACGATGTTCTCACCACCGCCAACTCTCTCGGTTCATATCTATGTATATATTTCAAAAGATTTGAAGTTTATCTTAACATTGTGTCTATTATATATATATGATTTATTATAATTAATCTCTTTCCATTGATAGTTTGAAGTTAGGGTTTTTTATTTCAGAAGATATCACTATTAAACCAGCGTTATGATAGGAACTTTTATAGATAAAGATACCCAATCAATGCTGCAGTTTTCAACATTGCAATGGACTCCTTACAGATAAAGCAATATATAATTTCCCACATTAAATTTATTTTTATTTGATCAACAAATTCAACCTATCATTTTCAAAATCTCAAAATACACTTGTTTTTATTTTATAACCATTTCTGTGTGTTTTAATTAGAGTGTTGTAACTCCGATGGTACCTGGCGAACGAAGCCCTCAAGGTTGGCAAGCTTGCCTAAGGCAACAGCCATTTGTTGCATTCCGTCGATGATCGGACCGCCAGCAACGGTGTCGATCAGCGACTGCTGGAGCTGTTCGAGGCCTTGGGTGAGTGCTTCTTCTGACTGTTGTGAAGAATGCTGGAGGCTGTAAATCCCCATCACTTGCTGTTCAGTTAGTGGATCTAATTGTGATATTAGCATCTGAAAAATAAATCAGAATTGGTTTAAACATAAATGACAGCAAAATGTAGTAAATACTTTCAGTTCATTTTAAAATTTCACCATCTAAATCTAGAAGATGAAACTTTTCCTCCAGTCCAGGAACTAACAGTAATGCTAAGTTGACAAGTAAAAATCAATGGTAAAACCACGGCTCCTTACAATTTACATGAATTATTAACTTTTTAAAACTATTGTACCAAAAACAATTAAATTAAATCACCATCCATGTTTAGCATACTTTTTTTGTTAATAGACAAATGAAGGTATTTGAGGAGTTCAAACCTTGATGAGTTCGGAGGGCCTGAAACCTCCCATCCAAAGGAAGCAGCGTTCCGCCGGAGTCGTCCACATGCCAGTTATAAGGTGAAAAACATCGGCCTTTGCAGCGGCGGCCTTCAACCGGAAAAACTCATCGTAATGTGAGATGTAACTGTCCACGGCTATTCGAAAGTCGCTGTCGGGAAGGTGTGCATTTAAACCAGTTCTTAGCTCCGACATGTGCCTCTGATCATCTTCTAACCATCTCGAGTATTCCATGTCAAATATTGCAGCCCCTAAAGTGAAACAAGCAGAACAATAACGGTAATGAAACAACACACACATTAAAAAAAAATTAAGTAATAAAGAAGAACTTGTGTAGAAGTTTAGAACATATATCCTTCAAAATTGAGTAAAAGTTGCAGTGAATTAATGAAAGAAACAGTGTAGGTGAAGGTTGAAGTAGCAATTATTATAAAAGAAAACTAAAGACAACCATTTAATTAAGCAACTTAATAAAGAATAAATATGAACAGAAAAGGATTCTTTGTATCTAAGTATTGAATTGACTTGAAATTAATGTTGAATATGTCAAAGTTTTCAAATTTTCAGAAGAAAAGAAATATAAACAAGCTACACATGTTTTCCACCGTTCTTCCAAGACTACCCATTATTGAAAAATGCATTTCCCATTTTAATGATTCATAATTGTTGGAAAATACAAATAATAAGAGCCCATTTAAAAATGCAAGTTTTTTTCTTTTTTGTCAGACTTACCAGAGCTGATATTTCCACCAGCACCAGCACAACCTCCCAAGAAAAGTCCCTATTACATTCAAAAGTAAAATAGTTTCTTATACTGGTAAAATTATTTATCTGTAAAGGGGAAGAATAAGAATAAGAAACAAACGAAAACCTGAGATCGTGCTCTCTGAAGATCTTGTTCAAGTTGAGTTAGCTTTATTCTACTTGATTCTAGTTGTTGAACATAAGCCTATTTTAAGACAAGTGAACCAGTTTCTCCTAAGACAAATACTCCAGCCAGCAAACTCCATGCAAATGTTCTTTTTTGCATGTCTGATACAAAAATATTATATCCAAAAGATATGAAAAAATCTTCAAACCTTCTTTCTAAGACGACTTTTCCTTGCAGCTTCTCTGTTTTGGGCTAAACGTCTCAGTGTCTGAAAAAAGGAACAATTTTTAAACAGAAACAAAAATAATAGTACCAAGAAATAAAATGCTTTATTTTTGTACCTTAGCATCAAGCTGTTTCTCAGAAGTTGAACCCCTTCTCTGCAACATCATAGAAAAGTGTATGTGTGCATTAACAGGTGTATAATTAGAGGGAATAATATCCATTTAATATTTGATTATAATAAATCATGAAAAAAAGGATAAAAGAGGAATAACAACGCAGTGGTTGGTGATTTAAAAGATTCTTATCAAACACAGACAAGAAGTTGGTCAGGAAAATGAGAGCCTTTGTCTGTTTGGTAGGCTAGAAAAAGATTAGGAATGTGTTTATAAAAATATATTAAAAAAACTTTTGGTTATTTTACTGGCAGTTAAACTATCTAGCTTAAGCAGCTAAGTCAGAATAAAAAATCCGATCTTGGGGGTTTATTTTCTCACTTCCGAAACTGATTTCTACAGTTCAAAGAACTGAAGCTCATCTGTGAGTTATAGGGATCGAGTAAAGTGGGGTCATGGTTTTACCGTAAAAGAAAAATACAAAGGTAATATATAATACACATTCCCTCTTTGCTTTCCAATGTGTAATTGGCGTCTGTCTCTCTCTCTCTCTTCATGCCAGACATTCATCAGGAAATCGTCCAGGGATCAGGAAAAAACTCTGAACCCTTTGATTTTCTGAGGGTTTGTTGGGATCTGTTTACCCCTTTGAATAGACGAAGAGAGAGAAGGATCAAAACAGTAATAATAACAAAAAAAAAGGTACAACTTTTACTTCAGTTGTTGGGATATAGTAAGGAAAGAGAGAGATTTAAGGACCTTTTCATGGGGTAGTTCTGCAATTGATTGATTCTGTGATGTTCCAGTTCTTGAGATATCACTTGCCATCTTTTGTTGATGATCCAAAGGAGTTGTCTTTTTAGTACTGCTGGGAGAATCCTGTTCAAGCTGGATCTCGGTCTTGCTGGAGATTGTATTCACTGCAGAACCTGAATCAGTGCTTTCCCCTCCTGATTTTGAACTTCCCTGTATAAAATCAAAGTTTAAAACAAGTTTCTGAAACATATAATATAAAGATCAACTGTAGTTTGTCAACTCTTTCAACATAAGAAACCTAAAAAAAAAACAGAAACTGTTCGACCGTGAAAGAAATGGTCAAACGATGGTTAAAAAGAGAACTACTCTAGGGGTTTGCTGGAATCTCATTGGCCAAGAAGGAAACATCTCCAGGGTAGCTGCTGGTCTGCCTGTTGTGAATAAAGCTGCCACAGAATCACAAAAGAAAGCAAAAAACTCTATCTCAGAAGATTACCCAAGATTTTTTTCAACTCAGAAAGTTTTCAAAACCAAAGAGAGGTTGAAGATATAAAGCAAATCTACCTAATAAATCAGCCTGCTTTGCTATTTTATAATTTTTTACAGTTCAATGTTTCTATGTTTGTATCTTCACGCCATTCAAGTGTCTTCCCTTTGTATCATTACAGTGTTGGAAATGGTAAACCCCCCATCTCTTTTACTTTTTTTTTTCTCTCTCCTTTTAGCTATAGGATGGTCATGGTAGGTTAAGTTTTTGAGTTGGTTTTGCTGACATATGTAGAATATCGATGACGAAAAACAACTGAAATAATACGACTTAATGATGAGGAAAGAGCATACGTGCTTTAGCTTCATCGTTTCGAGTTTTCACTCCTTGCAGCACCATTGCTTCTTCTAGCTCTCCAAAACCAAACGCAGGTCCTTCTTGATGGCTGAGAGACAAAAATTGGTAACTTGTTATTAAGAAGAAATATAACAGAAACACTAAAACGAACACCTTTGAAAAACAAAAGAACATACATGAAACTTGTGGGAACATTCATTCCATGAAGAACTGCATAAGAGATATCATGGTGGTGATTCGAAGGTCCCGAGTCAGTCAAACCGGTCTCCCCAACTCTATGGTTTGCCATGCAAGACTTGGTTCACTAGACCATTCTTCAAACCAGAAACAGCTAAACCAAAAACACGTTGCGCCACAATGAAAACCAGTGGCTTTAAAAGCAAACAAACAAAAACAAAAAAACACCCAAAGTTGGTATTGGTTTAGTTTACCTTAGCTTGTTGCTGAAGAAGGAGAGGCACAAGGGAGAAGAAGATAAGATGAAAAGCTTGCAACTTTTGTTCCTTTGATCGGGTGTGTCTCTTTCTTTTTGGCTTTAATCTATCTGATCTTTTTTCTTCTTCTTTTCGAAATGGGAAGAGAGAGAGTTTTGCTTTTATTACAGCACCTTGTTGTCTTGTAAAAGTGTAGGAAATTGAATCAGACTTTGGACATCTCCCTTTTCTTTTATCATGGTACTACACAAAATCTTGTCCTTGCTTGCCGTCTCCCCAGAGTTTCTGCCTTTTTGAGTTCAAAAAACAATATTCAAGCAAAAAATATTGCAGAGACGAATCCACTAGAATCACCGACTCCTACTCCACTCTGTCTCTCTCTTTAACCGCCTGTTCTTTCTCATTGGTTCTTTTTATGGACCTCTTCAGCTCTGCAAAGTACTAATCTAAATCTAATAAAATAATATATTATCATAATAATATATGTTTTATTGTTAGAATGAGACATTTTTATAAAAAAATAATATAATAAATGATAGCACTTATTTCATCATTGAATATTAGATAACACAAGGTTTTCTTTCTTAATAAAAAGGAAAGAGATGGTGATAAAAAAAAAAAAAAAAAGAGCACCATAAAGGAGGAAAAGGTTACGAAAGAAAAGTGGTGGTTTTCTTGATCCTTTTAGTATATATGTCTCAATTGTTTTTAATTATGGTATCTATCAAATCGATTATTTTAGGTTAGATTTTATAAAGGTTTATTATGTGATATTTTCTTAACTCAATCTATTTTATTCATAAATCTTAAGATTTGAACTCTTAATCTTATTTAAAGGAATAAATGGTTTATTATATTAAACCAATTATAAGATATTATTTGTTTGAAATACTCTAAATTATTTAACGATAAACACTCAAATATTCCTACAAATAATGTGTTCGAACTTGAAGCCTTTAAAGATAAGATCATTTGGTTCATGCATGATCAAACTATTATGATTAATTTGAGATAAGTATAAAATAGTATTTGTTTAAATATAACTCTTACATTTTTAGTGTTCGAATCCAAAACTTCAAAAACCAATAATAATTTTTTTCCACCGAGATCGCTCGATTCGTGTAACAAACTATATTAAGCCGTCTAAAAAGGGGCACATGGGATTATAAGAGTTTACTTTTGACAAATAATGGCACTTACCATCCCAACGGCAGACATTAAAATAATGAGGAACAAGGCAAAAACCCCACTTGTGTATTTATAAATCCTTTGATCTTTGGGATGGATTTATTTGGAATTATGCCCTTTTGTTGATGGGTCAACATCCATTTCCTTTTCATCACCTAAACCCCTTCTCAATGCCACATTTTTAGATTCTTTTCCCTTAATTAGAAAATTTGTTTTTCTTTTGTGTTGTTGGCGGGGGGGGGGGGGCTCTCAAACTATAATTACATGATAATTTGAGGACTTGAAAGAGAAAAAAATGCCCTCTTTAAGGGCTTACTCCTCCATTATTAGGTGAGGATTCTTTGTTGGCAGTGTCCCAAACTTTGTATCTAGACATTCAAATCTGGTTTGCATGTATATCCCCAAAGCTACCCTTAAATTGCAGACTGTCTAACCCAAAAAGAAAAGGAAAACAAATTAAAAAAAAAAAGATGATAAAGATAAAGAATGCCACAAATTTAAATATGCTAGTTTTATATGTAAATATGCCTTTTCTACCAATTATTCCCTTAATGATGCCAATTATTGGTCTAAAAAACTAGTGGAAAAAACAATAAAGAAACAGTTGATGGATTAGTTGAGTTTAGTATAATTAAGAAGATAATTTTGTTCCCAATGAACCTTACAACATGTTTTTCATAAGGAACATTTTGAACAGATGCACAGATATCAACAAAACTAAAACTCCCTGTAGGAGAAAGGTGATTGGTCCATATCAAATCCTACCCTTAATTAGGGATGACAAACGGGCGGGTCGGGTGTGGATACCCCCTCCCCCATCCCCATACCCCACCTAATATTTTTCAGTCCACCACCCATGATGGGTACAAATTTTTAAATCCACACCCGCCCACGCGGGTACATTTTCAAATCTATCCCCACACCCACTACCTACTAGCGACATACCCATCTAGACCCGCCTTACAGCAAACTAATGGGATGTTGGAGTTGGTTCCCAGACAGTTCGTGATGGGCTAGCAACGCATGGTTCAATTTTTCAGAGGAGTGGCTCTACGAATGTTATGGAGACAGATTGTAGGGAGCATGTAGTCGCAGAGCTGGATTGTTGAGTTGCTTTCGATGTTAATGCTCATAGTGCGCTTAATATAGGTTTTGAGGGGCTAAAGAACATGAAAACTTCTGCTTTTGATGTTAATGCATATAGTACGGCTAATTTGTGTTTTGATGGGCAGCATGGGCTAAAGAACATGGAAAGTGACGTGGTTAGTGGGATTATGAGTTTAATCAAAGAGCCGAATATTTCCCTAATTAAAGACCAGATTAAAGACTAAATATCCTTAATATTTGGTTAAATTATATGTTATATATTATACAATATTAAAATTTATAAATTAGTCTCTAAAATTACACCTAAATTCATAATGGTCCAAAATTTAATAGATATTTAGCTGGGCGGGCGGATGTGGGGCGGGTAATGTCTCAAACCCATTACCCGCCCACCACCCACGATGGGTACCACTTTATAAATCCACACCCGCCCACTACCCGCTAAAATTATACCCATCCCCCGCTCCAATTGAAGCGGATGCGGTGCGGAATCCACGAAACTAGACCTGTTTGCCATCCCTACCCTTAATTATAGAATCAGTAGATTTTGTTGACCTATACACATAAAAAGGGTTAAGGTCATAATTGCTTGTGATTTAAGCATGGGAAAGTGAATTATATTGTATTGCTTAGTTAATTTGCACAAGATAATGATAGCTTAAAACAAAACTAAACCCCAACTTGCTTCAGGTTCTTTGATTGGAATCATTCCTTGAGTTGCTTGACAAAATGTCATGTGTATGGGTTATTAGGAAGCTGCCATGGATGTCTCCAACAGGTGAAGCTTTAATGGATGATGGGATGCCATGGGGAGAAGCCGTCATTCAGATGTATATATGCCCATTGATCTTAACCTTTCATCACAGGGGAATGTAATCATGTTTACCAATCATTGGCATTGGACCCCATCAACTCATTGTTCTTCCATTTATGGTGGCAAAGGGAAAACATCGAATGCTTAATTATTGAAGCTAGATCTTTGGTGGAATAAAAAAATATTAAAAATGCATATATCATCAATTAAATGAGGTATTAATTCTTAACTAAGGCTAAATATTTAAATCTTCACATTATAGATATAAAAATTTGATTTGAAGAATCGATTTTAAAATATCTTATCAACAATAATCAATCATTGAATTAAACATTATTGATTATATAAATAAACGTTCACACACTTTATTTGTATATGTTGGAGTTCGAACTCGAAATCTCTATGTACAACAATCATTCTTTTAGATATTGAGATAATTTTGTTCGTGTTAAAATTAAGATATTAATTTAGTTAAAAACTTAAATCGTAATTTATATTTGTTTTTTCAATTATAATTCATTACTTTATTAAAAGAAATGATCACATTATCTAATATAACTAATATGAATAATTAGACGGTGAAATGTAGCTTTGCTTATCCTAACCCCCCCCCCCCCAAATTATGGTAGTTAAGAATTTGTTGAATAATTTTCCCAGGCCAGCTATTTAAGTGATCAACTTGGCCTTGGTTTTTTATATGTAATTTTGTATATTTCAATTAATAAATACTTTTGTATTATTTTTTATTTTTTGTGTAATCACCGGTATCCGATCTATTGATAAACTAATCTGGATCGAGTAATACAGAGGTAAGGGGACCCTCCTAACTCAATTTACTCCAATCGCGATCGTCAAGATTCGGGTCATTGACCTTGCTTAAAGGATCTAGGACCCCATTGGTTTCATATTTATTTATTTTATTAAGTATTGGTGTTTGAAGTTTATTATCAATACATATATATTAAGTATATAGTATGAAAATATAACTTTTGCGACTTTTTAAATGCATAAAATAAACTAAAACCACGTATAACTATTTTAATATTTAAATTTATATAATTTTTTTCGTTTTCCTCCTGGTTTCAAGGTTTTATCTTGATTAATCCGGACTGATCCGCGTCACACATCTGATTTTGGTGGATGAGTCTCCCAGCAGAGATTTTTTGCATACACAACGACTCGAACTCGAAACATTGCTTAAGCGATATCAAACTGCTTACCGCTTGAACCAACACTTGTTTATTAAATTTAAATAACTTAATAATTAAAGAAGAAAATAGGGGGAGAATTCGTTCCCAATCGAGGTGTAGAGTTTTGACCTTATGCTAACAAATTTTATTTTGTTTATTCTAATACATTGACTGTGGGAGGTCTAAAAGAAAAACATCTTTTTATTTTCTTCTAAATTGTAGCCCTAAATTATGGCCTGCCCTTGAATTACCACATGCATCCCAATAATAACATTGGAACACCTTGGATTGCCTTTTCTGCAAAGAAATTCAAAGGTACACAACAAGATCCAAAAGCTGAACGCCATTTCAACTTAGGAACATTACTATTGGTAGTCAAATAAAGTCCGCCATGAATCCAAAACTTATTCTACTTAATGAACTTAGAAAATTACACTATAAAACAAATACAGAATTATAAAAGCTCGAAACATATAAAATTAAATTATCAATAGAAAATCCACGATAATATACTTCAAATAAAGCCGACCATGAACCCGAAGCTAATTCTACTTGGTTCACGCAGTTAATAACTTCTGAAAAAGTAATGCATTTGCAACTTTCCTCCCTTTAATATACATTCACGCCTGCAGGTGTGTTTTCAATTTGAATTTCACAACAGCAATAGCGTCTTTCATTAGTCATATATTAAAACCGTCGTACTTGAGTCATTCTAGTAGGAAAATGGAAAGCTCATTCAGATTTTCAACATAGTTCATTTCTTCACATGAACCAAAAATGTACTAGGAAGCCACACGCTAATAATCTCTCTTTTTATGATGACAAGTGAATTTTATTAATGAAATAACAGAAGGAAACATAATTACAATACATCCAAATAAAGAGAGAAAATAGGACAATAATAACCAAAAAATTTATACAAAAACAAAATATTAAGTATAAAGATACGAAGAAAACTGAAATATTGTATTTGAGATGTAACACCTACGACCCACATATTTATACCAATACATGTTATAGATGTCACATGATTTTCTTAAAACATTTCCCAATTCAAAAGTGGCTTGAAATTTCTCTGATCTAAAATATTAAAAAAATATTTCCTATCATTTTATAACATCCTTCAAATTTTCGTAAAATTCCAATTTGATCCGAATATTCTATTTCAATACCGAACTTTACTGCTTGATAGCTTTTAACATAATTCTCTTACCAAAATTTGATTTCCCACTAAAATTTTTGTTTTAATCCAAACTTTTCATTTACAGGCTAAAATATATAACTTTTAAAAATTACAATTTCGGTCCCTAAACCTTTTAAAGTTTATACTTTATCTACTAAACTTTCAAAACTTACACTTTAGTCAATAGACAAAATTTGGGATATTACATGAGAATGGCGATCAATATGAAAAGAACCCAGTAACATTGTATTTTATTGATCGAATGTATACAAAACGAGATAAAAAAATCTGTATTCGTTAAAAAAAACCTTCATAGACCAAGATGGAGGAAAAAGAGTGTCATGTCGGTGTCGGGAACAGAGGCATTGTACATAGCAAGGGAATTCTACACAATTCAGCCCTTTTACATCATTTAGGGCTTTTATGGTGTATTCAAAATTGGTCATTTGAATATTAGAGTTATGAACGTTCAATCTCAAATAATTGAGAGTTATTTTTTAACAGATATTTTCTTAACTTATCCTATATTAATAATAAAAAGATTATTTTTAAATGAAGTGACAATATTTCACTTGAAATATTTATTTTTTGTTACATTACCGAAATTGTTGATTATCTATCCAAATTAATTATTTGACATTGAATAGTCACATTTTTTTAGTATTTTTTATGCTCGAACTCGGGATCTTAAAAAATAATAATAATTTCTTTACTAATAAATTCGCTTGGTTCGTTGTTATCTTAGTTATTTAATTTAAAGAAAATTAATTTTCATAATGCGTTCGCAAATTGGAATACAATTATTCATTAAAAAATAGAATTCAATCTATTTGCTATTTTGGGCTGTTGAAAATAATTTGAGTAGACCTAATCCACACCAAAACAAGTCTCAGCCCAAACGAATTCGGTCTAGACCGGTAGTGGGCCCGGTTTCAGTTTATTACAACAGCTAGGGTTTTATCACTGATCCTGCTGTATATTTTATCTCCTGCCTCTAATCTCAAATCGCGGCTAGGGTTTTCTCTCATCTGGTATCGACTTTGTACTCCAACCCTCATTTATTCTCAGATATAATTTTGTTTCCTCAATTTTTTGTATGAATTGATAATTTTACAGGTAAATTTTATAGTTTTGTTCGTGGAAAGAACAGATACTCGGAAATGAGGTAATTTTGATCGTCATTTTCTGGCTAATTTTGTTAGCTTGGTGTCTGTTCTTCTGAATGATGCTGAATTTAAATTACCCAAATTTATACATGTCTTCTTGATATATTCCTTTTATCCCTTGATGTTTCTTAGGATTTTTCTGTTGTTTTTTTTATTTACTGGACTTGAATTAGAAGAGTTTGGATCCGTTCATTGATTTCTGTTTTATGGAATGATCTGTTTGGTGTTCATTTTATGATTATGAGCTGTTTATGTTTCCTTGGATCATTGATCCTTCGTTATTCGAACCTATGAAGCATGTTGTTGGATCTTATCTACTAGTTTATGGTTCTATTTCCTAAACGGTATTTGGTTTTTTATTTACAGTAAGCTTCAGAGTGACGCCCTCAGGGAAGCTATTTCAACCATAGTAGCTCAGTCCAAGGAGAAGCAACGTAAGTTTACCGAGACCATTGAGCTCCAGATTGGGTTGAAAAACTATGATCCCCAAAAAGACAAGCGTTTCAGTGGCTCCGTTAAGCTGCCACACATTCCTCGCCCTAAAATGAAGATCTGCATGCTTGGAGATGCTCAACATGTTGAAGAGGTAGTTTTGCACCATTCAAAGATGAGCTTGTTTGCTTACCTTGCTTTGAAGACTCGGCTTTTACATTTGGGTAATGGTTTATGCTTTGAGGGTTGTTTCAAATTTATTAATTTGTACTGCAGGCAGAGAAAATAGGTTTGGATTATATGGATGTTGAAGCACTTAAGAAGCTTAACAAGAACAAGAAGTTGGTGAAGAAGCTTGCCAAGAAGTATCATGCTTTTTTGGCTTCTGAATCTGTCATCAAGCAGATCCCTCGTCTCTTGGGTCCTGGTCTCAACAAAGCAGGCAAGCGTTCTTTATGAGCATCATTATTATTGTATCCGTTTTCATAAATTTCCAGTTGTACTCGCTTATTAAATTGTAGGTTGACAATATATGGAATTTTGCATTTTGTCGGTCGTGGTGTTTGAACTGGGTTCTATTGCTGATTTTGTTGACAAATGCCAGGAAAATTCCCCACCCTTGTCACTCACCAGGAATCACTCGAGTCCAAGGTGAATGAGACCAAGGCAATGGTTAAGTTCCAGTTGAAGAAGGTGCTTTGCATGGGTGTCGCCGTTGGGAATGTAGCCATGGAGGAGAAGCAGATATTCCAAAATGTGCAAATGAGCGTCAATTTCCTTGTTTCATTGTTGAAGAAAAACTGGCAAAATGTGAGTTTCCTTGGCTTTTGTTCGTTTAGTCTGCTTTGCTACTTCCACACAGTATCTTCCTTGATAGTGTTTGTGTATGGGATTTTGATGTTATTTTGAAGTTAATTAACATAATCTGAATGAGTTTATGGTGATTGCAGGTGAGGTGCCTCTACTTGAAGAGTACAATGGGCCCATCAAACAGGATCTTTTGAATTCACATTTACCTTTCTGATAAGAGTTTTAATCAGAATGCTTAAAGTTTCTGTTATGTTTTTTTTTGTTGGATCTTAAAGCAGCTTTGAGCTTGAGACATCGGAAGTTTTTTATTTTTATTTTGCATATGAACATAAATGTTGATTCACTTGTTAATGTCTCATTTAGACGATAAGGCAAAGGCTCAACAATTTTATTTACTCAGTTTAGTTTAGCATTGAATTAAATAAAACAAAATTAATTAATTTAAATATATTTATAGAAATTTAAAATTAATATAAAATATGTTTCTAAATTATATATAAATTTTAATCGTAAAACGGGTCTTCTAATATTATATGAAATTTTACACGTAAATAATTTGTTTCCAGTGTATCTATTATCTAGGATGAGTTTATAACGAGTGATATTATTGTACCACGAACAACATTAATGCACTACTAATATAAAATAGAATAAAATTCATAAATAGTCACAAAAATTTTTAAATTAATTTTATTTAGTATTAAATTTTTAAAAGTTACAAAATAGACATTAACCTTTAAGCTTTGTTAAAAATAAATAACAATGCTTAAATGTTATTAAGGGATGACATAACATACTAAATTAATGAAAAATATCTTATTTAGTCCCTCAATTATAACTAAAATTTCATTTTAATATTTTCAACGTTTTTAAGTAATAATTGTAAAAAATATTTTTTATAAAATATATGAAAATAAATTATTTGTAAAATTAAAAAAAAATCTTATTTAGTCACTCAATTATAACTAAAATTTCATTTTAATATTTTCAATGTTTTTAAGTAATAATTCTATATATATATATATATATATTTTAAAATATATAAAAATAAATTGTTTTTAAAAATAAAAAAATATTTTCAGAAAATTCACATATCAAACGATGAAATTAATTTTTTATTAAGAAAAACATTTTATAACTAATTATTTATTTAATTATTGTTGTATTTGTAAAATAAAAAAATTATGATATTCGATGTCCAAAAATTTATATTATCAAATAATAAAATTATTTTTTTATTAATGATATGATTTAAACATTTAAATTTTATTTAACAATTTTAAATGTAATTTAAAATTCATACATCCATAATATTATAATATCATATCAAATAATTTTAATTTATATGGTTCACATTTAATATTTATAATATAAAATTAAAAGATGATATTTATTTTATCTATATCTATTTTATTTTCAATTCAATAAACTTAATAAAAAATATTAAAATTAAGAATAAAATTAAATTTTAGTTATAACTGAAGGGTCAATTGAGATATTTTTCAATGGTTTTATACTCATTTTGTAACATAATTAAATTTTAATATTCATTATGTAACTTTTAAAAGTTAAATATTTTAAAAGATAATTTTAACATAATTTCATGATTTTTTCCTATTATCTATCGTTCTCTCTCATCAAAAGCTAATCTAATTGCAGTTTTAATAAGTCAGAAGAAATGTTCGTTTCTTTATGAGGAGTTTCAAAAGAGCAATATTTTTTCGTCTCTGACAGCGTTCATCAGTTATTAAAACCAAAACTAATAATCCAAGCATTAGAGGGAGTTTGAGTGTTGATGATCGTTGTTTTAGGATATATTCAACAGTTAATTAGGATCCTGATCAAATCGAATTTTATTAATTAAATTAATTTGAACATTTTTTTATAATATTAATCTAACCGAACAAAATTCGATTAATTAACTAATATTTTTTTTATAATTTTTTAATTAGAGTAATTTTAGTTTAATAGAGATTTTTTATTTGGGTTAAAATTTAATTAGATATTGATAATTTAATGGGTTTGAATTTAGAATATGTATTTAATATATTTAATATATTTAATATTTAATACGTTCGATTCATTCGGTTAATAAATCGATTAATCGAATTAACCGCTATTGATTATTGAAAAAAAATCATTCCATAACCGAACTAATTCGATAGCGACTAAATTAATCATACTAGTTCTGTCACACCCCAAAATGAGGTCAAATGTTAAGTATCAAAAAGTTGTGAGTCATTTGTGGAATTCCCTATAAGTTTAGGGACTTAACCCTAAGTTTAAGTAATTTCATATACCCATTTTTTTCAGTTTTGGGATTTCTTTCTCTCCTTTTTTTTTCTAATAGAAAAGTTTACCCGTATCATTCAATCACTCTCTCTTGAAGTTTAAAGACCTCTCCTGTGCTGTCTTTAGACCGTCAATGCCAGGCCGCCGTGTGGTGCATCGTCGGCACCAAAGCTCTGCCCACCTCATTCCAATCGTTAAACAACGACTATGACACATGAAAATTGGATAGAACCCATGGGAGGAGCCTTTGGGGCTCAAACTCTCCCAACACATCACGAAAGCTCAAGAACACCATAGATGGCGAGCTTTTCATGAAATTCAAGAACTCTTGGCTATGAATCTTACCTCTAATTTTTCGGATAATGGAGATGAAGAAAGATGAAGCCTTTGACTATATCTCTTGCTTGGGGGGAGAATGAGAAAAGAAGAAGATAAAGTAGAAGACAAAGTCGTAGGCGTGGTTCAGTTGGTAAAGTAAGGGTTTTTAGGATTATGAGTTGATTTATGTCTTAGAGTCGAATTGTGCTAACTGAGAATCTTAGAAAAAAAATAAGGGAATAAAGTGGTGAATTCTTTGAACCTCTTCGATAGTTGTCTTGTAAGATCGGGTTCTTTAACCTGGTCTTAGAAGATCCTACGTTATCAAAAAAAAAAAAGTGAAGAGAAAGATAATGAGTTTCCAACTTAACCCCACGGTGAACTCATCACAAATAAATGAGATTAAGCCTTTTTGTTAACTAAGGGTCTAATTACACATCTAGTCTTTCCTCTTTTCTCTCAACTTAAAAATCTCAATTTTATCTTAAATTTAACTAAATTCTCACCCGATTGAACTCAATTTCGAACTAATGAACCTCCATGCTATAGCAAGTGTATTGAATAAGTTATTAGGCCAATACAAAACTACTAGACTGATATTCTGGGTGTTGCAAAACTATTTTAAAATTAAATAAAAATTTTAAGTACTAAATTGAATGAAAAAGAAAATATGAGTTTTAAAATGTAGCTTTTCATTAAAATCAATCACAATTCTTTTTTAAACATGTGTCACATGATATAATTTTATTAGTCAATAAAATTTAAAAGTGTTAAAAACTAGAGTAAAAATAAATATTATGAGTAGGAGTAAAGAAAATTTTAAAGACAACTCGATGAAACAAATATAATTTAAAGAAATATTATGACATAACACATTTGGTAATCCAACTAGCAAAAGTTTTTTTTTGATCACTCAAATTGAAAAACTTGCAACATAATAACTAAAGTTATATTCCATTTTTTTTTTCATTTTGCAAAATTTTTTGTTATAGTTAGATGACACAATTGTATAGTTTACCCTTATTTATTCTTTCTATTTAAAATACGGGTAAAGGTAGGTGCAGAGTTACTTATAAAACATTTGCCAAAATGTGCAGTGTTGACCCATAGTTACCACCGGCTAGTAGCTATTTACCAGTAGGTTGTCCCGATTCATAAACTTATAACACAACTCTCGTTTTCTCCATCCAAAAATCTAAAGGTAATTCGTCTCCTTTTGCTCCTCTTTGGTCTTTTATATTTTGTGTTGATCATCTGTTTCATGTATTTTTCCACGGTATTTTGATTTTTCTTTTACATGCTACCTTGAAATCTTCAGTTCGTTGTGTGGAAAAGTTCAAACCTTGAAACCCAAAGGAAGTTAAAAAGAATAGCTTTTGTTCTTGGGTTGGTTTGTTTGTTTTGATGAAACCAAGGATCTGTACTCACCCTAGACGATAAAGTGGGCGATCCCCCATGTTCTGCAAATGTGATTAAAAAAAATAGTTGATTTGTGATGATATTATGTGCTTGATCATTTTCCCAGAAGATTGTTGGTTATTTCAATGTTTTTCGTTCTCTTGATTCTAAGCTCAGCTATTACTGGTCTCACTCGGTAAAGAAAAAAAAATAGTTATTTCCCTAAAAAATCTTCGAGTTCGAGCAGTTGGATATAGCAAGCGAATGTATTGTCTAGAATAAGCAATGATCTTAACTCACTTGCCTCTCCCGTCTTTCCTTTATTATTGTTATCTGTTCAGTTGCTATTCATTTAAAATTGACAAATCTTATTTTGATCATTTAGGAGTAAAGATGGCAACTATGAGCCTCACATCTCCTTGCATTGTTAAAGCTGCAATCCCCAACCGATTCACGAGTGCGCTTCTCAAGGCCCCGGGATCTCTTGGATTTGTTAAGAGCATCTCAAAATGTATTGGCTTGAAATGTTCCTCCAACTACAGAACATCCATGACCGTGTACAAGGTAAAGCTCGTGGTATCAAATGGCGAGGTGTGTCAGATATAAGTCGCCAATGATAAATACATTTTGGAAGCAGCCGAGGAGGCTGGACTAGACCTGCCTTATTCCTGCAAGGCTGGAGCTTGCTCCACCTGTACTGGGAAGATGGTTTTGGGTTCCGTCGATCAATCCGGCAGTTCCTTCCTCGACGGAGGAAGAAGGTTATTTGCTGACTTGTTTCGTACCCTACCTCAGATTTAGAAGATTCGCACTCGCAAGGAACAAGATCTCTACCAAGTGACAAAAAACAAAATAAAACAATGTTATCTTGTCCAATTTGAGTCCACCGAAATGTGGTGTATAATTTCTCAAAAGAAAGAAGGTGCTGTATAAGGAAGATACAAGGATGTCATTGCCAGGTTAACGTTAAACTCTCCTACAAAGTATGGCAATCAATAATGCATTATGATTCATGTTACAATACATTGCTTCTATTAGATCATCTGTTGATGAACATCAGCTGCCAGCTGAGCCAGCTACACCACCATAGCCTCATCAAAGAACTTGTTGATGCTCACATCTTCACTCATTCCCAGGGAAGTTCAACATAAAATTCACTCGATCATTTGTGATTGCCTTTTTTCCTTTTTAAGACTTTTTTGTCGAGTTTTAGAAATGAAATTCGTGTGTTTGTGTGTGCATGTGAATAGAAGTAGTGATACCTTTCTACGCCTTGTCTTCACCATGAACTCCTGAGCAAGGTGCTGTATTGGTGCAGGTTCGAGGGGCCGTAAA